CGGCCTGACCTTCAGCTGCATGGGGCACTTGCGGGTGGTGCTAACCTTGGGAAAGCGTGAGGAGCAGTGGCCCTCTGACCACATGTGCTCTTTGGTTGCAGATCTGTTAAGCTCTGGAGTTTGGATGCCCTTCTTGTTTCCGTGCTTGTTGTAGGTAGCGTGGTTTCTTGTCTATAAATAAGGCCTGAGCAGTAGGCCCTCTTCCGTCAATAACAAGCAGTGTGATCTTGAGTGAGCAGTCAACACCGAGGCCGGACAGTAGCAGCCTGCCAGCTTCACGTGACTCGGAGTGTTTCTAAATAGTGGTTTGTTTTTCTCATGTTTAAAAATTAGGAGATTTCATTTTTTAAAATTAAGATTTTTTTTTTGTCTTAAAAAAATGTCTCCACCAATAACATAGTATATCCTGTGCACTTTTCCTCCCAGCAGTTCCTCACATCTGTGAGCTGCCTGGCCTTGGGAAATAAGTGTTTGCCACTCCAGGCATCCAATTTCCTTTTATCTAAATTGGGAGTCACTGTACAAACGTACTATATATATATCTGTACTAATAAAAGCCTAGGTGGTGTCACACCCTCGCGCAACGTCGTCACAAGATGGCTGCATGCACAGTGGAGGCATGGCCCGGCAGCTGCTCCGTGAGGTGAGGCCTGGGGTACCACGGCTCCGCACGGTGCAGAGGAGGCCGGTCCTGGCAGAGGAGGCGGGTCGCGACAGGGGAGGGCAGTTGTGGGCAATCAGGCCCGCAAGGGAGGACAGTTGTGGGCGATTGGGCCGGCAGGGGAGGGCAGTTGTGGGCGATCGGGCCGGCAGGGGAGCGGTTAGGGGCGATCAGGCTGGCAGGCAGAAGTGGTTAGGGGCAATCAGGCTGGCAGGCAGAAGTGGTTAGGGGCAATCAGGCAGGCACGAGACCATCAGGTCCTTGTCATGTGATCTGGCCGAGTGCTCTGACGGAATGATAGCTTGATTTCCCTGGGACTGGAGTGAGGGGTCCGCGAGGAAGCAAGGCAGAAGCCACAGTGCCTTTTATGACCTAGCCTCCGAATCACACTTGGCCATTACTGACTACAACATCAGTTGCTTACACAGAGGCACCTACTCATGGTGGGACCCGGGAGGGTGGAAATGCCAGGAGATGGGCATTACGGGGCTGTCTTGGAAGCAGGCTACACAGCTGTTTAATGTCCCTCTTGTTCACCATTTGTTGCTTCCTATTTTTGGACAGCAGTGTGAAATCAGAGTGGCCATTCTATATGCATGGCTACTCATGAAAATAGACCAAAAGAATTTGAGACGCCACTTAGCTTCCAAATAGACAGGAACACTGTGATGTTTCATAGAATTGCATTGATTTAGAGTTTACTGATTTGAGAATTTGTGTTAACAGAGGAGCCATTTATAGGATTTTTCTTAAGCAACAAATTTAGAATACTACTTTCATTTGGGGGAGGCCTTTTGACTAGGCAAGCAGGTGAATGGGTGTAAAATTTAAAATGATAGATTGTTAGCAAATATTTCTTTGATAGTTGTATCTTAGTTCTTTGAGGCTGCTATTAACAAAATACCAGACTGGGACACTTAGAAACAACAGAACTGTACTCCTCACGGTCTGGAGGCTGGGAGTCAGATCAGGGTGACGCATGCTCTGCTGAGGGCTTCACCTGTGGGAGAGGGGCGGGTCTCTCTGGAGCCTCTTTTGTAAGCACCAGTCCCACCTATGAGGGCTGCACACTTCACGGCTAAGTCCCTCCCAAAGGCCTCGTGTACTCATACTTAGGATTTCAACATATGAACTGGCGGGGCACACACACATTCTTACCATAGCATTATGTAAATAGACTTATTATCTATTCGTATACAGGCATTCCTCAGCTGAATTTTGTTTGTTTGTTTCCTTCTCTTTCTCATTCTTATTCATTTTCTTTGGTTGTATTTGTCCCAACTGGATTTAAAAGCTACATTTTTTAAAGTTCATCACTAGGAATTAGGTTTTGTTTCCTCATAGGAAAAATTGTTATATTATTGTCTTTTTTGAGTTGAACTTGTGTTCCAAGGCTAACCCACAATAATTTAATGTATTAGAGACTATTTTTGTTTTGGAAATTAGAAGGAAATAATGCCATTGCAGTGTTAGTAAAGAGCAAAACCAAAGAAGTGCATTCTTGGGCAGGAGGAATTATCATTAATCTGGTGCTTAAGGAAAACTTTCTGTAATTTGAGAGGTCTTATTAGACAATTAGAGAAAATCGGAAAGAGGTCTCTGGATTTCATCGAACTAATTTACTTGAATTTACTTACACACACACACACACACACACACACACACACACACGCACGCACGCACGTGCGCGCGCACACCCCTATTCTCACCTTCATTGACCTCAAGGTATCCTTTTATTTGCTTTGTTGTTGTGTTTTTTGTTTAAGGGTGGTTTATTTGGAAGGAGTCTGCTAGGAAGTCCCCAAGTAGAACGAAGAAAAGACTGATGTTATCTAGTAAGTCCTAGAAGAGAAAGGAAAGCGTGTTGGAAACTAGAAGAAAATGAGGAAATTGGAGCAGGGCCTGGATTAAAATTTTTTTATTAAAAGATTTGTGCTCAGCTGGCGTGGCTCAGTGGTTGAATGTCAACCTATGAATCAAGAGGTCACAGTTCGATTCCTGGTCAGGGCACATGCCTGTGTTGCGGGTTTAATCCCCAGTGTAGGATGTGCAGGAGGCAGCTGATCAATGATACTCTCTCATCATTGGTGTTTCTATCTCTCCCTTCCTCTCTGAAATCAGTAAAAATATTTTTAAAAAATAATTGTTTTACTGTTTTTTCAAATAGTAATAAATTAGAAAGTTAATTGCTAGGTTGACGCTTAAAAGATGTAAATGTGGAGTAAGTAATATATAAACAAATAGAAAATGTTGAATGAGATTAGATCTTGTGGTTAATTCATGATAAATTATAATCTTGTATGAGTCAGTAATAGTATAATTGAAAATTTATCTGATACTGGATAACGAAGCAATTCTTGGAATTGAGTTATTTGTACTGCCTCCTGTGGGTTCGTACACTGCTGCAGGTAAATGTTAGAAATTCTGAATAGTGAATCATAGTTTTGTATTCTTTTTAGAGTAAATGTGATGAAATCATATTGAGAAACAGACTATACATTGGGGAAATTTTCCATTTATGAGTCTTAAAACTGAAAATCGATAAAATATTATCTGGAAGCTAAGGGGACATGTCCTCTCAGTTTCAAAGATCCTTTCTGGGTCTTGGATTTTTATAATTTCTCTTAGTCCAGTGATATATCAGCTTTTTATCAATTATTTTAAAATTTCCTTTATATTGATTTAAGTTTGGTGAATCAGAGTCCATGTATAGTGGACTAACCACGAGAGTTACAATGAAACAAAAGATATGGATCCACACTTCAGAATGCTCACCATTTGCGGTGGGACCAACTCATGTATAATAAGTAATGGAGATAAAACTTTTGTAACTTTTTCAGTGACTTCTTTTTGCTACAAAAATTTAAAGTGTTTTATGTAAAGCTACAATAAGCGTTAGAATGGAATCTAATATTGGTGATAGATGTGCAAATCTAATGCTTGCAGCCTCCTCCTGCCCTCCATACAGGAATTGAAAATGCCCTGCCCTGCAGGAAGGTTCTGAGTTGGAGAAGGACTTGTGCCTTCAGCCCTGGCCGCTGTGGCTCAGTTGGTTGGAGCGTGGTCCCATGCGCCAAAGGGTCGTGGGTTTGATTCCTGTCAGGGTACGTGCTCAGGTTTCGGGGTGCATGCAGGAGGCAGATCTATGTTTCTCTCTCTCCCTCCCTCCCTTTCCCTCTCCCTACCTCTCTCTAGAATCAATGAAAAGAATATCCTAGGGTGAGGATTTTTTTTTTTTTAAAGCTGTGTCTTCAGATAGAATGAGGGTCAGGAAGTCCTAGCAAACTTAATGGGGGTGGGGTGACTTATTTAGAGGGATGCCAGTGAAATGCTCAGAGTTCCTAGAGAGGAGGAAGGGAGAATGATCCTGGTAAAATACTCTGCAACACCAGAAATGAGGAGACGGTGGAATAACATCTATAAACTATTGCGGGAAAGGGACCGCAGACCAAAAACTGCATAAAACTGTATACATAGTAAAAAAAATGCCAGGGCAGAAAACAAGGCATTTTTGGAAAATGCAAGGAACACCAGCTATGGATCTCGAATGCGAAAGACTCTACTTGAAGTGCTCTAGAAGATGAAAGCTGAAACGTAACGTTCTCCGGAAGATAAAGGAAGCAGTGGTGGTTTTACAGGAAGTCTGTACAGAACGATGAGTGGTTACATCTACTGGGTGGCGTTAATCAAAATCTTTGTTCTGCTTTTGTGCCCCTTTCCACCCATCCCTGTCCCAGTCCACCCCCCGACCCCATTCCCCACACACCTCTGTACTGTCACTTCAGTGGGTGTTTAGGAAGCATGCGCTCTGTCTAACATCCTGACCTAGAAAATCTGTTTTCATTTATTTATTTAAATCACTGTAGGGTTTGTTTGTTTGTTTGTTTGTTTGTTTAAATTGATTTTTAGGGAGGGGGAGAAACATCACCCATGTGAGAGCAGAGCATCACCTGGCTGCCTCCTGCACGCCCCCTACTGGGGATTCAGCCTGCTACCCAGGCATGTGTTCTGACTGGGAATCGAACCGGCAACCTTTCGGCGCTCAGGAGGATGCCCAGCCCGCGGAGCCACACCGGCCGGGCTAGAAAATCTGCTTTTAAATTTCTCTACTTCCCGCCACAAACGGCTCATGTTGGTCACGGCTCTTATTGCAACAACAGAAACAGGCTGTGGCAGATTTAAACAAAAAAGGGATTCACTGGCAGGGCTGGGTGACGGGGGCCCTTGGGAAGCCTGGGAACAGCCTCCGTCGGCCGCTAGAAATGGTACGGAGCTTGGCAGCGACAGCACTGCATCTTCATGTGGAAGTAAATTGCCCTTTTCTTCCTTTCCAATGTAGGTTATATATTTGGGGAAAACTCCAGAAGAAGCATATTCAATATTAATGCTCGGCGATATATCCTACATTCCTTTCAGGTAAATATGAGATGATATGGTAGGTTCATTTAAGCAGGCCCTTGCCGGGAATACCGGGGTGCGGTGGTTTCTGAAAAAGGCAGACCTGGTAAACAGTCATGTTAGGGCGAGGGCAGGTAACCCGTAGATAAGCCTACTCAGTAGGTACACGGTTGGTCTTTTGTTGTGGGGCTGCCCTGTGTGTTGTAGGGTGTTCAGCAGCATCCCTGGCTTCTGCCCACTAGATGCCAGTGACACCTCCACCCCCACAACAATTGTCAAAACTAAAAAGGTGCTCGGGCATTGCCCGAAGTCCCTGGAGTGCGGTGTGGATGGCTCCACTGAGAACCACACCCCCTGACGGGACCGTCAGAGGAGGGTCCTGACTTAGGGCACTCAAACTGACGCTGAGGAGTTTGGTTCCCGGGGGATTAAGAAATAAATTTTCCCACTAGTTAATTTCTGGGGTAAAAATGAACCCCTTTCTCCTGGGGACAAGGCAGCAGAGGCCGTGGGTGAGGCTGCTGACGTGACATCGCTCCTAGAAAAACCACATGGCTGTGCGCAGAGCAGCTCAATGAGCCATGTCTGTGCATGAAGGGTGACGCCCCCATTCTCCTCTCACACTTACTGTATGATTGTGTTGAAGATCTTTGGGAAAAAACTCTTTTCTTTAAATCAAATTAAGTTCTGAAAGTTTTTCTACCTGTTTACCAAAATATTTGACTTAACCATATAATCTAAATCAGTGGTTCTCAACCTTCTGGCCCTTTAAATACAGTTCCTCATGTTGTGACCCAACCATAAAATTATTTTCGTTGCTACTTCATAACTGTAATGTTGCTACTGTTATGAATCGTAATGTAAATATCTGATGGTCTTAGGCGACCCCTGTGAAAGGGTCATTCGACCCCCAAAGGGGTCGTGACCCACAGGTTGAGAACCGCTGATCTAAATACTTACATGGTGCTGAATGTGTAATAAATGTGTGGAATAATTTTGCTTGTTGCCAGCTGTATGGATAATCGCAAGTATCGCATTATTTTTCCACTCGCAGGTCGGTAGGTTTAGGATTGTTGCGTAAACCTCAAGTGCCTGACTGTGAAGGCACCGCTTTCCCGTGAAATGGGAGGCTCCGAATCTGCCCTCATTGCGGACGAGCCTGGGGAGGCGTCTCCCTCAGGTTCGGCAGCACCTCCTCCTTCAGTGACTTTGCAGGGCCAGCCATGGACGTGCTCCATGGAATAGCGTTGTGAGGACAGTCTGCCGTCCGTCCCGACAGTGACCTGTTGCACTCAGCGCTGTATATTAGTGTCTTAGTAAAGTAGAAGAATTACTCTGAACCCAGTGCCACCCCTTCTTCCGAGCCCACCATCACCGTAAATACTCTGTTATTGGAAGGGGTAGAAAAGGATGATGTTCTTTTCCAAACTGGAAAGTGCTCCATTTTCCTTCTCCGCCTAAAATATAACGGCAACCATGTGCTTCGTTTAGAAAAATGCTTGTATTTTTGGTCCCTGAGTGACAGGCACATTGATAAACAGTGATAATGGTGTTCTGCAGAGCGCTTCTTTAGCCTAGCCTTTGAGTGTTTATAAATGGAGTCATACAGTGTGCGTTTTGGAGAGCTGGGATCTAGCTTTTTAAACGCTACTTATGAAATTTGTCCATATTGTGGCAGGTATCTGCAGCTCATTCTTTTTCTTCTTACTACTTTCGTAATAGGAAGTAATGGAATAGCATTCCATTCAATGACTTTGTCACAATTTATTTACATTGTCCTTTTGATAGGTACCTGGGTTATCTGAGGTGTGGGGCTATTATGAATACAATATCCTGTGAAAGCTGTTATTCCTAAAAACTAGTACTTGACATTGTTTTGCAGTTTCTAAGCAAGACTCCATTGACTTGCATCCGATTTCCCAAGTTTGTTAAATGATCGTAGTGCCAAGCCCCCTCTTCCCGCCAGGGCTGACATCCAGATTCGTAGCTGCCATGTGCTGTTTTGAAGAAGCCTGACTGGGTGGGGAAGGAGGTGTTGATGAAACAGACATGAGTGAACAAAGAAAGGTTCTGTTGGCCATTCAGACAGTGCAACGTGTGAGGCAGTACTGTGGCGAGCCCAGGTGAAAGCTTGCCAGATCATCATTGACGAGAGCAGTGATGGCAAACCTATGACACGCGTGTCAGAGGTGACACGCGAACTCATTTTTTCGGTTGATTTTTCTTTGTTAAATGGCATTTAAATATATAAAATAAATATCAAAAATATAAGTCTTTGTTTTACTATGGTTGCAAATATCAAAAAATTTCTGTATGTGACACGGCACCAGAGTTAAATTAGGGTTTTTCAAAATGCTGACACGCCGAGCTCAAAAGGTTCGCCATCACTGGCCTAGAACAAGGTTTGGCCCACAGTAGGTTCTCCAAAAACATGCATCGAATGCATGTATCACGTTGTCGCAAAGACTGAGTCAACATGCCTTCCCTGGATTGGGTAGGAGCTGTCAGTTGGTTAAGAAGATAGCATCCTGGCTGAGAAGGAGACACGACTAAACACATAGGATGTCACGTGACAGTTCATCCTATTTCCACTGATAATTTTGATTTAGAGGAAACTACTTCACTTTCTTAACTAGCTTCTCTTCCTTAAAACATTGCTATTTCATGAGAAATTATTTCTATGAAACAAGTATTTGTGTTGATTTTGTACTCAGTGATCCTTAAACTGTACATCGCTCACGGTCACCTGCCCCACCCCTAGGCCTTCTGACCCAGCAGGTCCGGGGAGCCTGGGACTTGGTGTTTCTGACAGTTCGTGTAGCGCTGATGCCGCAGGTCCAGACACCGCGCTCAGGATCGCTGCCCAGGCGCATTTTGCTTTTCTCCTTCCCGAATGTTGTCAGTGAGCTGTTGGTAAAATGCAGACCTTTCCCGGCTTTAGAAGAGCAGCTTTTAAATTCCGAAGCTTACAACAGAGCGGCAGTTATAAGACCTGTGCGCCAGCCTCGTGCAGGTCGGCGTGCCCATTCCTCCGCGACCCGGGCCAGGCCAGCCAGGAGCTCTGACGCTGTGGGAGCTGAGAGGGACGCCCTTCCTTTTCCTCACCGTTAGTTTAATGCTGCTCTAACCACCGACATTCTTAAGGTTTGGGCAAGAATGAAACAGTTTAAATGTGCAGTTTGATTTCTCAGGTTAGTAATGTTACCACGAAGGCAGGCAGTTGCCAGCTCCAGTAGCCACCGTTGCACAGAAGGACCGACCGGATGTGCATGCCGAGAGGCACGGTGGTTTGGCATGTCTAGGATGAGCATAACTACATTGATTTTATCTTACTAATTCCCCGGAGGTGCGCTTTGCAATGGCTCCGGGTAGTTAGAAAGGAGAAGCGGGGGGCCATGGAGGAGCGCCTCATTTTTCTGGACAAGACCCTCACCGGTGTGAGAGCCGTGTGGTGAGAGTGCTGCTGAGTGTCGGTGCAGCTCTGGGCCGAGTTGTCTGCAAACTGACGTTAGCACTTCCCAAGAGCAGAGTGATTCTGCTAAGGGTAGTTGATGCCCCAATCCCTGGGGTTTAGTGGTACTGTGTTCCTTTAAGGATCAGAAAGAAGTTACCCAGTTAAATTGTTAAAAAGTGTAAAATTGTAAAAGCATAATGAGAGGAGAAAAGTGTGTTTCAGCTTGCACCTAGTATCTCAGATACTACCTTCTTTTTCCTACTTGGATGGAGATATACACAAATACATGTGCGCTTACATGCATACACACACACACGCACAGAGATACATATATACAGAATCAAAAACCAGTCTTTCCTGGTAACAGTTTGATACTGTATTTTCTGGTATGAAGAGAAAATTCATATACCTTGCCCTTTGGGGGCAGGGGTCCATATTGTTGATTGGTAACTCTCAAAGCTCAACCATCAAAGCCCAAGCTGATCCAGAGAGATCGTTCACAATTTAGGAAGTGGCCATTATTGATCCCTGTTTATAAAACGGTGTCTATTGGAGGAGGTAGAAACGGCAGTAAAATTTATATCAGTGACTTTTATTTAAAAACCAAACAACAAATATTCTTCTCTCCCCCTTCCCCCTGGGTCTTGCTCTGAGTACGTGTTTGGTTTTAAATTCTAGTCAGCTTTGTGTTGAGTAAATGTACTGCAGAAAATTAACTGAGCTGCGCATTTCAATGCTCTTGGGATTTCAGAGACGCTGCCTATGGGAGCTGCAATTTCTTCATTACCCTTCTGGACTGTTTCCACGCGGTGAAGAAGGTAGGTGACTGCGGACGCCCCCACCGTTGTGCTGGGGAACAGAGCACCGCCCAGGGAAGACAGGTGTTCCCCCCAAAGACCTCCCACCATTTCCCCACTAACATGAGAAGGGCCCCCACTGGGGAAGTTTGTTCTGATCTGAGAGCGTCTGCATGAGTGGAGAAGCCACCTGAGCAACAGTGGACAATCGGACAGTTAGGTAATTGGGTTCTAAATCCAGACTCAGCTTTGAGTGTGTTGTGACTTCAGAGAAAAACAGAATGGCAATAGATTACTGATTTCCAACTTCCCTTTGATTTATTATGTGTTTGCATAAGATACATAAATAGGATTCCCACCAATCCTATTTACATGTTTATAGCACAGTGTCATACACGTGGTTTTAAGTCTTCAGTCAATTTCCATTTCACAGGATTTGAATAGCCTTTAGTTTGTATACTCATAGCCCATTAATTAATATATAAAACCAAGTAGGTCACTACTGAAAAGCTACTTTAAAGTAGCACCTGTGTTTTATAACCAGGCTGCTTGCTTCTCTCTGACACCAGGGGATGCCCTGCATATCACATTCCAAAAGAACAGGGTCCCTGGAGTTAGGGGCACAGCGGACCCGATTGTAACCCTCACTCTCTTGGATGTCAGGAAGCAAAAGAAGCTAGAACTTGAAGTCAGAACTTGAAGTCACTGAACTATGGCTCAGTGACCTCTCGAGTGTTTATGGGATTGTATTTCCAGAGGCGAAAGGAACCTAGCTTGACTCTCTTGTATGCTGAAATATGGTGGCTTTTGAGAGTTTTGACAGAAATGTTGTGGATTAAGATGAGAGGACTAATTAGTATACAAAGTCAGAGGTTGGTTAGTCTACCTTTTCATTCTTTGGGGTTGAGTCCAGCCCTCTGTGAGGGGTGGAGGTGCCTGAGGCAGCCCCCCGGCCTCGGTGTCGGCAGGTGATGGGCTCCGTCGGGAGAGGAGGCATGGCAGGTCGACATGTTCCCTCCTGACTGAGTCACTGCCCATCAGATGGACCCAGGAAGCTGCTAATGTTGGCAGGTGCACGGTCAGGACCCTGGGTCTCCCTTTTCTCATCTCCCACCACCTTTCAAAAAATAGCAGAAAAACTTTGAGGGCCTGGGAAATGGTCTGTAACAGTGAATAGCTGTCTGTCATTAATTCTTGCCTTAATTTTTTTAAAATATGTTTTTATTGGTTTTTAGAGAGAGAGGTAGGGAGAGTGATAGAGACATAGAACATCATGGATCAGCTGCCTCCTGCACACCCCCTACTGGGGATTGAGCCCAAAACCTGGGAGTCCAATGGGTGACTTTGTTTCTGGGTCGTCGCTCAACCATTGAGCCATACCGGCCGCACTTAGTTTTTTTTTATTTTGTTTTGTTTTTAGTCAGATCTAATTAGCAACTGTAAGTCAAAGATTGCACTTTTCACACTATATTTAATTTTGTTGAAGTCAACAGCTTCTGATTTTCAATTTAAGCATTTGTTTGTGACTGATTTAGAATATTGTGTGCCTGAAACATTTAAAATGCTACTAGTGCTACTTCTAATGGGATCTCCTTATGAAATTCAAAGAATAGAAATTTCCTATAAACTGCATCTTATTGTATCATTCTGTTAGGAACATCTCTAGTCCAAATATCATGACATGTATTGAGAATTTTGAATTCAAGGAAATAAAATTCCTCATGGATTTGGTCTTGGAGCTAGCATTTAAATAACTACACTTCATAAAATGAGGCCTTTTTCTTGGTATTGTAGCTTTCATTTTTTTCATTTATAGTTCAGTACTTTAAATTTTGAAAACTGGGTTTGTAAAAGTCACCCCTGTTTTTTGCTGTTTTCCATTTTTTTTAAATTACATTTATTGGGGTGACATTAGTTAATAAGATTACCTTGTTGATCAAGAATTCTAGCTTACATACTGTCTGGCTCCGAAACTACTTCTTGGAAGCTGCCAGCTCGCCCTTGCCTCAGAGTATAGATCCTTTGCTCATTTCACTTAGCATGCTCTGCCCACTGCAGCCCAGAACGGAAAACCTACGTGTGTGTGTTTTTTATTGAAAGAAGACATTTTTCTCCTCAAAATTTTGGATTTCAGTGTTTGATCTCTGGGCTGTAGAGGGAACATTAATCTCATAACCCAAGAAGAATTTGAAAGTAAAAATATTTCTGAAGTGTGTGGGATTCGTTTGTGACAAACTAACCTTTCTTTCCTCTATTATCTGTTTAGGGGCCATTGAGTTCGTGCATTATATTTGAAGCCTGAGTGGTGTAGATCTAATAAGTGGGATTACTTTGAATGATTGATTTTTTTTTTTTAGCTCTGCACAGATAGGATGATTGTGAAGGAAGATAAAATACCAAATCTCATTAAAGTAAATATTGATGTACTAGTAACTAGTTAGAACTAGTTGGGAGCCTTTATAAGACATATTCCACCTCTTTAGAAAACTATTGAGTGGAACGTAATCTGAATATAATAATGGTTTTTGGAGGGTGCCTCCTGATATTAGGAAATTGGATTGGAAATCATTTACTATTTGCATCTTTGTTCTTAAAAGCTTTCCTTTGGATTTCAGGCAATGCAGTATGGCTTCTTTAATTTCAACTCATTCAGACTTGATGAATACGAACACTATGAAGTAAGTTTTCAAGTACATTGATTTTAATTCTGCTACTTATGTTTTCCTTACTGAAGTGTCACTGTTTTTAAAAACACTGAGCAATGTGGGTGTGTGTAGAGTATGAGGGAGTCCGCGTGATCCTCACACGCAGCCCAGTTCCTCATGGGCGTCTGCCCTCGTCGGTGCCTCCTTCCAGAGGGAAGGCCGTGCTCCCGCTGTTTCCTTAGCTTCAGTTTAAACATCTTTAGTAATGATGACTTCATCTGGTGCCTAAATGAGGCCGTGTTTGTAAAACCCTTAGCACAGAATCTGATGAGATGAATAGATAGCCATGATGCATCTAACTAACCTCTGGAAAATACGTTTTTATCACTACCGTTTGCAGAAGTCAGGACACTTCTGCTTGTGAATTTCACAAAGTAAACACATATGGCTTAAATAAAAAAGGGAAGGTTTATTGATGTTCATACGTAAAAGGCCAGGAGCAAGTGTGCCATCACACACGACCAGATTCAGGTACTCACTCACCAGAAACGGTGCTGAAGGAGCACTGTGTCCTGGGCTGGCCCTCAGGAGTGCTAACCACCAGCCACTGTGACGCTCCCAGTTGCCGAACTCACCAGAAAAGAGCATCCAGGCTCCAGTGGGAGACCGAAGAGATCCTCTCCTTGGCCTGGCTTAGATCATATCCCTTGCCCTCAACCAGCATGTTCCCAGCAAGGGAGGGGTCGGTGGGGGAGCATACTCGCTCCCCCAGGAGCTGGAGTGCTGGGCCAGCCCTATCAGCCACACAGACCAAAGAAAGAAGAGTCCAGGCAGGCGAAACCACAGGTGTCCTCACACTGAAATGCAGTGTATTTCTTTAAAGAAAAGTAACTTGATTCTACTGTTTATCCCACCCTCCAGATCGATAACGAGTAAGATGCTAAAGCTGAAGGTCTTTTCCAGCCAAGAATGCTGTGGGGTCTGATCTTCTTATCTTACTGTAGTTACCTGGAGCAGACATTGTCCCTGGTAATCGGTGATTTCATGCAGCATTTTATGCAGCAATATCTTAATCCTCACATAACTGTTCTTTAACAGTTAATTTCTAATTATTGTAAACTCTTAGGCATAACTAAACTGTTGTATTGATGGGTAGGGTTAGTAGCTACAATCAGTCATTACCGAGATGTACCCAAAATGTAAGAGCAAAATGTGTGATTTCTTAGGGCGCATCCTGTCTTTATTCTCTGTTAGAGCAATTCATTTCTAAAGTACAATATGTATTTCATTGCCACCTTATACTATCGACTGCAACTTAATTTTTACACTTTTCTGGTGCTTATCCTGATAAAATTAAACATTTAAAATAAAATATCTTTCCTATGGAAGCAGAACTCCTAAACCAGCATTCGGTGTTCCTTCTGTGCGGCACAGCCTCGCCCCGTGTGCCCCTCAGGAGCGACGCCGGCACTCATTGGCTTCTCTCACTAACGCAGAAATGCCGGTGCTGGCAGGGAGCAGAGGTCACCACAAGTGTGTTTACTTTCAGTGAAATTGCTTTGAGACACGGGGACTATTCAGGCAGCTCCAGACAGGAGCTCACAGGCTGGTTTTGTTTGGTCTCCACAGTGTATTTAGAAATGTTGGGTTAGTGTTTCATTGCTTCCTTGAGCTC